GAGAAATCGTTTAATGCAAGGAAGCATTAGAAAAATCCGCGGGGGCCAACCTCTGGTCCAGAAAAGCACCTTGCAAAAGTCTATTCAGTCTTCACACTTCAAAACCCCAATAACCATACTCTCTCTCTCTCTCTACACTTCTGTATTCAGCCCATCTATAATAGTGGAGAATAACATCAGATAAGAATCTAAGCTTTTGTTGAAAATCTATGGAGAAGAAACAAGAGGAGGAGCTAAGAACAGAATTATACTCAACAATTTCAGATCAGATGATGATTCCAACAACCTTTTCTATGACAAATATTTTTTATGATTCCGGCATGCCATGTGAATTTGATCAAAAGGAATCTTTAGGGTTCTTCGACGTTCAAGATTTTGCAACCCAATCTATTTTCGATTTGCTGCAGACACCCTCCTTGCCAGCAAAGTTTATGCAGCAGCCTCTACCTTCACCAGTGGCTGAGTCATCTGAGGGGGTCAACACTCCGGTGACACCAAATTCATCGTCTTTTTCTTCATCGTCAAACGAAGCAGATAATGATGATAGACAGATCAAAACTATTGAAGAAGAAGAAGAGCAAGATCAAGACAAGACTAAGAAACAGTAATCTTCTCTTTCATTTTTTGTGTGTAAAGTAGAAAGTTATCATTTTTTATTTTTCGTTTTCACTTTTAATTTAATAGTGTGAGCTTGAACATTCAATGGAAGATCTTGATTAATGGGGTTTCTGTATGCACGATCTCATTAAGTGTGGATTTGATACTCGTAATTTTGTTCTCTAGCATTATTCTTGTTATGAGCAAAAAAGTGTGATTTTTATTATGTGTGTCTTTAGGTTGAAACCCAAAAAGAAGAACCAAAAAAGGCAAAGAGAACCCAGATTTGCTTTCATGACAAAGACTGAGGTTGATAACTTGGATGATGGCTATAGATGGAGAAAGTATGGACAAAAAGCAGTGAAAAACAGCCCTTTTCCCAGGTATATTCACACGAACAAAACAAAAATATATGTATATATATTCTTGTGAGTTTGTATCTATATTTCACTTTTCACTTAGAAGTTGAAATGATTTGCTTTATTTTAATAAGTTTCTTTTATGGAATCATGCAATATATGTTTGTGCAGGAGCTACTACCGTTGCACTAATGCATCATGTGTTGTGAAGAAGAGAGTTGAACGATCATGTGAGGATTCATCCATAGTTGTCACAACCTATGAGGGTACCCACACACATCCGTGTCCAATAATGCCTCGCGGAAGCTTTGGAGTTATGCCGGAAACCGCCATTTTTGGTGGCGGTGGCGGTGGCGGTGGAGGAGGTACTTCCTCTTTTATGGTCCCAAAAATGCAGCATTATCGACAACAACAACAACAACCGTATTTCCATAGCTTGATGACACCACCTTCGATGAATTTTAGCACTAATTGTAATTCTTCGTTCCATCAAGAGAGAACATTTCGTCCCTCTTCGTCTTCTCTGGTTAGAGATGATGGGCTTCTTCAAGATATGGTGCCATCCCAGATGCTCAAGGATCCAAAGGAGGAGTAAAAAGTGTTAATTTACTGCTATCAATTGGTATGTGAGACTAATCATTTGATAAATAGGGTTCTTTATTACATAATGACTCCCAAATTAATATGATGTAAAATAGCTAGATTTTAGCTTATGGATAGACTAGTACTTTCTATGACTAATTAACTTTTGTTATATCCTGTACTTGAGAAGTTAAAAATTCTAATAGTTAAAAGAGATTTTGGGTATATACTTTTGTAAGTTGTAGTTTCTCCCATTTAAATTTTTTTGTATTCTTTTTTCCCTTCGTTCCTCTTCTCTGAGTGCAATGTGTATGCATACTATCTATTAGGGTTAGGGTTTCCTCTTGTTTGCTGGCAATTTTCAAAATTCTTCATTGTGGTAACTTCAAGGGGTCAATTCTTGAATTCATGAAAAACTAAAGTATGTAGGATTCATTTAATTGTGTGCCTTTAATCAGGGGACTATGATAAATTTTGTATGACTTTGATGCAAGCTACTTGGTAGAAATATAAGCATTCTGCTTGGAAGTAGTGCAGCGCCGGGTAGCTCGTAATGTTCGTCTCGGACGAAACCGAGACCTTTTCTATGACTTCTACTCGTTGCATACCTTCATTTTGCTTGTTTAATGAGTTGATATTGATGCTCCATCCCTATTTAATCAAGAGAACCTCAAATGGCATTTCATTTTCTTGATTTATAAACTCCCTTTCCTAAGTAATTTTCTTCCCTCATATAGAGTTCCATGCACACAATATCTTCTGTTTGTTAGATTATATAACCTCTTTCATATATTGCTGCAGTCTATAGCACAAAAATGATGCAAAAGGACTGGTCCCTTCTTGGATCTGTCACACCTTTTGAGCTAAAGTCTTAGCCCAAAAATTAGGCCTCACTCACTTTGAATACTGTGCTACTTCAGGCCATACATTATGTCTAGAGCCTAACACAGTTGATAAAATAATTCTGCAATTTCTACCTTTTTCCCATCCTTAGTAAATGATATATATTTGCATAATACGTATACTTGTGTTTCGTGAATCTGTCGCGGTTGACGTTTTTTGTGGGAGTGTTTCGGCTATACAAGTGGGGTATACACATCTTTTTACACATAATGTTGTGCACTAGAGCTTTCATGCACACACATCTATGACCTGTAAATATATATATGTGTGTGTGTCACATTATGACCTATTGCTGTTAGTAGGGTAGGAGTAAGGACTGAACTAAAAAATCTTTTATTCTGGGCTAACGTGTAAAAAAAAGAAATTCCTTCTATTTCCGCCCCCGCATCTAAGTATATATATTTGTATGTCCACGTGCCTGCACAAGTGTGCGTAATGTTAATAAATGCATGTAAGAAAATGACTTTTATCCACCATGCATGTACCCAAATCAAAGACATACTTTGAACTTGTGTGTCGATATATAGAGTTCATTACCTAACTTTGTTTCATTTTAAATAATGTTACCAAACTAGCAAGAATTATGTATACAATGATATCACTTGCTAGGAAATAACGACGAGATTATATGGTACAATATAAAGTAAATATCACAACATAAGAAGAACACGAGAAATTTGACAAAAGAAATGAGAATTCACTATAATACGGGAAAAGAACACAAAAATATTGTGTTTTCAATATTGTTTAACTTTTCAAATTTGTAAAGTACGACCAACTATATCTAGGATACATGTCAAAACCCTAATAATAGTAATAAAAATGAAAAGAGCATAAAAAAAAAACACGTCAAAAACACGAAATGGATTGTGGGTCTAATGCCACTGCAGCTCCAGTGCCACCCTAAACGGGTGCCAATTCCCTATTTTCGTGCTAGAGAGTAGAGAGGGAGTTTGGCATGCAACAATGCAGTTAAATAGCTTCTAAGTCCATATTTTGAACTCTTCAAGGTTCACTTCAACTAATCCATAAATATCTAACGAAAATTGAGTCAGATTTTAACAAATAATACCAAAACGATATGAATAAATTCTCTAAATAATATGATATCAAACATTTTTGCTTTAATTTTGTGATTAAATTCTTTTAGCTACATTTTTTTCCAGAAAGTAATGAAAAAAAAATTGAAATTCCAGAATACAGTAGTTATTTTAAAATTATGAGTCTAGAACCGTGGGAAAGGAATCAGAATGAAGAAATTTTCTAACTGTAAAGTGATGTGAATAATTTTATGCATTTCAATATTCTCTGCCAACACCAATGAACTTGTTCACAATAGCTGGAGATTAAGAGTTATTGCACAATATTTCTTTTATTTTTTTAAGTCTCAGTCGCATTTCCCTGTTGAGACACCTCCTCTGATTTTTTCAATTATTTTATTTTATTTTTTTTCATTTGATTAATGATGAGAATACCAGAAAAAATAAGTACATAAGTAAGCCACTGCCAATGATTTTATCTCAAATAGTCAAAAGTAGATTCCTCTAATATGACATACAAAATCAAAATGCCTCAAATTTTAGGATAAATCTATATGTACATAATTATTGTACATAATGGATTACATAGACCCATGTGGAAGAAATCCGGCCGTGGATGTGAAGTGTGGAAAAGTCAAAAATTGTAGACTACCGATAGATGTGCGCCACATGTCAATTATGTAATATATTATGTAAATGATTATGTACTTGTAGCATGATCCCAAATTTTAAGTCCTATAAACTTGATTTAAGTTAGAAATTGACAAACTAAAAAGAGAAAGACAAATTTGGTAATTTTAAAAGAAATTACATTGCAAAAATTAAAAATAAAGAAAAATCATGTGGGTCCTCAGCTTTGTGAGGGATATCTAATTATTAAATGGACAATACTACATGTACATCCACTTTTTTATCTAATCTTTTACATACACTCCCAATAGGGTGTAGGGAACACACATTTGGGATATGCGGGCCATGCGTACATGTGAGAGGGTGTAACATTTTCGTTACAAAAAACTAGGTACAAATGTAATTATTCTTATTAAGTTACATGTATATACACACATATTATTTGGCAGGTTATCTATTGTCAGGTTCATGCCACTTTTTAATAGTTTTTGACAGATTTTCACTTCTAGTGCACGTGTATAGTAGGTGATCAAATAGTAACAAAGTATGTTACTCTTTATTCACCCCGTGTTTTTTCAATCCATTTTTTGTGCACGATCAATTATCTTACTTTTGTTGTTGTAATAGATAAGTTTGGCTTGAATTAGGATTCATTCCATTTATTGCATTTGATCTTTTAAAAAGTTAATGCAGATAAATATACATGAAATACTGAATACTCCAAATTTCAATAGGACGCTGATAAAGATTTCATGTTACCAAAACAGGTTATGAGATTGTATACATGACATTCAATGTCAAATCAACGCCTTTTTAAACTAGATTGACAAAAGTTGTCCATGGAGAAGAACAAGAATAAATCACAAAAATAAAAACTTTCAAGGTAATATATGAATTGGTAATTGTTATCTGAACTTATGAACTTTATAGTCTTATATGTCCTCACCGTAGATTTTTGAAAGATTTGGAACATCAACTGCAAATTTACCTAAATTTTATTCAACTTTTACTTATTTTAACTAAAATGAAGACAAATTATTGACGTCTAACCAAAATACATACAATAGAATCTTCGTATTTGACTCAATTCTTATAGTAAAAAATTGGGCCGAGTTTTCAATTAAGATAACGGAGAGTAATTACTTATCTTATTAAAGGTCCAATATGCGAATCTATCCATTAGGGACCAACATGAAACCCTAGAGTACTACAAAGAACAAGCCAAAAGTGCAAGCTGATACAGATTCAGGTACATTCTGTTGAAAATATGCTACAATTCGAGAATTTTTAGGACCCTTGAAACCCTTCACAATTTGATGCATCTGTTAGTACGCGTAGTTAAATAACTGATGATTGACACTGGTATAAGTTTTGCAAAAGTACTTATTTTTGTCTTTCGAAAGAACAAGTAATCTCTTCTATAAAATGGTATGAAATTAATGAACAACAATCATTAAACTGGATAAAAGTATTGAACAAACACTCCTCGATTGTACTCGTAATCCCATAGTGGATGACAAATTATTAATTGAAAAGATCAACCTCGATTATGAGTGAAGTCCCGACATCTTCTATACAAGTTTCTATGCTATCATTGTAACCAATCCACAGCTTGTAACTTTAGCTCACTTTTATGATCCATCTTTCATGATGCTTCGTGGAGGTCTGGCTCTTTCCTCTACACATCAAATTTTCACACCTGCATATACAGAGAAAAACGACGAAGTTGTAAGACTATTGAACTTCACTTACTATGCATGGATGTTTTTGACAGCTGTTCGATGCAATTGAAAAGCAATATGAAGTGCATGTTTTTGGTAAATAGTACTAGACATGACTATGACTATGACTGGACAATACAATAAATAAGATTTTAGCTTTTTTCTTTCTTAATAGCATCGAGTGCTATCTAATCCTTTGTAACAAACATGCCATAAATACTACATGAAAACATCGCAGTGCAACTGTGCAGGGAAGCACGATGGGATCATGAATGGCCAACAATGATGTTATAAAATACGGTACACTTACTAGCATTTGAGGTACTGTTAATAGTACAAAAGATAATGTGTATAAAATGCTTGCTATCACCACTGCAGCGACTAAGTTGTGACCAAGGCGTTTATTGTCTTTCGTTGGCACAAATGCAGATTTTAACGTATTTGTAAGTTCAAAAAGGCGGTAAGACACCTGCAAGTATTTACAAAAATGAAGAAAAGAGGTAAGACAGCAACACAAGTTATCTTCATGTCCTTTTCAATTCACCATCGAAATAATTAACTAAACAAAAAGAATATGTACACTACCGCGACATATATTGACGTAGTGAGCATGAAGTTTAACAAAGGGTAATTCGGAATCAAAGAAAGCAACAGTTTGGGCTGACCATCTGGCACACCAGACCTGCATTTGTAGTTTAAATCTCATTAAAATTATACAT